GAGTTATTTTTTGACGGGTATAGAGTCTAATTTTACAAAATAAAAAGTTATGGTGATGGATGCTGGTAATAAGAGCACATTATGAATGTATTTAATATCACTAAACCGTACACTTAAAAATAACTAAGATGTTATATTTTATGTCTGTTTTACCACAATTTTAAAAACTATGAAAAAAGAATGGTCTTCAAATTATCCAAGCTTGCCAATAGTGCTGTATTTATGACTAGCAAGAATAGGAGCAGCCTCACTTCTTACCCATAAAAACAATTCAGTTCGCTGAAGCAGAGGTGAAGGTCTTGCTGGTATCTCTACCGCCATCTGCTGGGTCAAATCAAACCATATTCTAGTGAACCCTAACAAAGAGAGGTCTTTATGCTGTATTTGCTTCCATTTTAACTCTAACCACTGGGGTCTCTCTGCCAATCATTTTCCCACCTTCATTATTGATCCTAGTATCAGCACAAACCTGTTTCTGAATGTCGTGTTCAGGGACTTGTCAATGTAAGTGCTCATCCCAGAGAAGCTGGAAAAAGAGCATGCAGACTTTATACTCAAGACTGCTTGCTCTTTGGGTTGGTCAAGGCCTGCATCTCAAAACCCATGATAGTCAGCCCATAAATTTCTAGATATTTAAGCAGCTTGGCAGAGATCTTTGATACGGCATTGGTGGTGGCTGCTTTTAAAATGTTCATCCTCACATTGATTCTGTACTTTGAAATTGTGTGAGCACGTGTGTGGTGAGAAAAAGAGTTCTAAGAGGGAACGAATGAATGTACACAGATTGAGATGTCTAATAACAAATTTGTTATTAGACATCTCAATCTGTGTACATTCAAAGAGTTCGAGAGTGACACACACTCATGTTAAATTAAGCATGTATCCAACTAAAGCTGGCCATATTTATAACAGTATTGTATGATCTGACCCAAGAAAACGAGATTAAAGAATATAACAGAAGCCTCCTCAGTGGCCTTAACTGTCAACACACATGGAGCTTGCACTCAGTGGAGGACTGAAAACACTTAGTAGTGATTCTTCTTGCAGGCAGTTTGATAATGCAACATGAAAATGGCAGCCCCCCAGAGCCACAGCGGAACTTCCACTAAAGAGCTGACTGAATAGAAACACGGATCCATTTAGGAAAATCTTCAAAATGTATATAAGTAGTCCCTTTTTAAAAAGTGTAATACGGCTTCTTTACCATCCTTATGGCAATACGGTTGGGGAAGGATACTGATAAGTTCATTCTTTAGTGTGAGAAATAAAGATCTCAAAGTTACTTACAGAGCATATATCTTCTCTTTCTACGCACAAATTAAATCTCTGCTACTTTCCAAATTCCTCTGCATGAAAAATCAAATGGCCTCTATTCTGAACTGGCAATACACATAATAGCTCTATCTTTCAAGCTAAAGAATCCTGCTTTCTCTTACTAGGGCATCAGTAAACTGGGTATTCTGAATGAGAAAATACAGTAGCCTTTGATTTTGGTAATATAATGGCAACTGCTATGAGTTGAGTCGTGTCCTCCCAAAATGCACATGTTGCAGCCCTAACCCCTAGAACCTCAAAATGTGACCTTCTTTGGAGATAGGGTCTTTACAGAGGTATTCAAGTTAAAATTCGGTCATTAGGGTGGGCCCTAATCCAGTATGATTAGTGCTTCTGAGAGGTAATTTCGACAAACACATATATAGAGGGAAGGTGACATAAGAAACATAGAGAAGATAGAGAGACTGAGGCCTGGAACAGATCTTCCCTTACAGTCCTCCGAAGTAACCAGCCCTGCCAACACCTCCATCTCAAACTTCTAGCCTCGAGAACTGTGAGACAATAAATTTCTGTTGGTTAAGCCACTCAGTTTCTGGTACTTCGTTTCAGCAGCCCAAGAAAACTCATACAGTAACTCTCCCCCATTTCCCATACTCTCAAAAGGTACTGTCCTTGCCCTCCAATAAAAAGTATTATCCCTAGATGGGAAGCACGGAATAGGGAATGCAGTTAGCAGTAATATATGGCTAGGTGGAAAACCAGAGGAGAGAAGGAGCGATTAGGGAAATCGTCTTATAAATTATGTAAATGTCTAACCAATGTATTGTATACTTGAAACTAACTTAAAAAATAAAAAATAAATAAAAAATAAAGTATTGTCCCCGACTACAATCATAACGGCAAGAAAGGACAGACTTTATTATTGCAAATGGGAAAACTGGCATCATTAAAGAAGTCATGAAAGGTTTCCTTGAGGAAGTTGTAACTAAGTTAAAATCTAAAGTAAAAGAAATTATAGGTAAAAAGAAAGGGATGAGCCTTCCAGGTAGAAGAAGCCCTTTATAAGAGAAACAGACAGAAGGCAAGTGTCTAGCTCAAAGAAAGTGAGGAGTATGGTAGGAGACAAGTCTGAAGAGGCAGCTGGAATTCTGATTACTCAGAGTTTTTTAGGCCATCATAGGATTTGGGGCTTTATCTCAAAAAACAATGAGATCAGATAACTAAACATTTAGTGCATCATAATATGATGGAATGTGAAGAACTCAGCATCACCTATGAAGTATCCTAGGCAACATGGTTGAACTTAAATTTAATCAAGTCTTTAGAGCTAAATTCCATTTATAGAAATTATGGGAAATAGAAGAACAAGTTAAATAAGATCGTAAGGAAGAAATCAGACAAATTCAGGTTATGGAACATTCCCAGTAATGACAAAACTAATCCAGTCAATAGGGGAAAAAAAGAGGGGTGGGGGAAGGGTACGCTCTCGATCTAGAGACACAAGCACCAAATGGAACACATGAACCTTGTTTAGATCCTAATTAGAACAACTCAACTATAAAAAGGCATTTTTAAGCAATCGGTGAAATTTGAATACGGACAGGATATTAGATTGGACTAAACAATTATTGTTAGTTATTTAAAAAAATACGCTGTGTCTTCACACTGAAGTTGTAATCTTAATAGTAGAGACCATACACAAAACAAGAATTCAGTATGTATTGTTAATGCTGATGTAGAATCTTGGTTTTAAAATCTAGGCAGAAGGCCAAAAAGCACTGGGAAATCATATGTGTTTTTGCAGAATTACTGAATTTTTTAATTGTAAATGACAAGAGGACTTATCTCATCAAAACATATGCATGAAGAAGAGGGCACAAAGCTGGATGGTGGAAGAGCTGGTCTACCACGTGGGCTCCTGTGCCATGAAACTCATGTTTTACCTCTTTCAGCGCAGCTTATAGGGAGGTTCTCACCACTCCCAAGCCCTAGGTAGCTCACATCTCGACTTTCTCCTTCCTCCACTTGACTTTACATGCTTGCTCTTCCTCCCAACTCCACCACCAGGCATTTTAATTTATAGTCACTTGACAAGTTTCACTTTCCTTGGGAAAACTGCCAAAGGTAATGCTAACAGAGAAGGAATAATAATGAGTGGAAGAAAAACATTTTAAAGCCAAAGCAAAATTAACAGTAACAATAACAACAGCTGCTATTTCAAGCTTTTTCCGGATTTATGTGTCTACTTTTTCCTCCTGGCTTTCATGGACACATTTTTTTTCCCTAAATTATGTCAACAGACATATAATAGCTTTGTATCAATCCTACAAGTTTTAAAGAAAAAAAAGGTTTTAAGTCACTGTTATACATAAAGAATCAATGCTGCAGAAATATCCTCTTTCCCCTCCTTGATCTTTTCTCAAAAATCACAGCTAATGTGAAGAGCAGACATCAAAATATTATTACGTATTATACATCTTATTATTACTTATTATATCGCTTTTTAAATCATACACATGTATTACTTTTAAAAATACTACATTTTAGAAAATTGAATTATAATTATCCACTACTGTGTTTAGCAATATATGGAAAAATTAAGAATTTGGCCAGTACTCTTCTGGATTTTTAAGGTAAGCCAAGTACGCTTAATATTAGCGTAGACAGATAGCTTAATATAGGCAATAAGGTATGTACGTCACTATATCAAATATAAATGTATAGCTACGTGGGATTTAGTGAGTATAAATCAAGTAGAGTAATATGTGTTTTGGGGACTTATTATATAAAAATAACAGTTATCTTTTACTAAGTTCCTCCGTTATGTTATATATGTACATTACACATACATATCACTACTCCTCACAACAAACCTTTAGGGGAGGTATTACTGCCCATATAATACAAAGAGTAAAATGTAGGACCAGAACTTGAATATAAGGCTCTCTGATTCCAAATAAAAAATATACATTCAATTTAAATTTAGCAGAGGAAAATGTATGCTGTTTACTCTTATTCTAACGGCAACTCATTTTACCATGTTTCATTGTCAAAGCTGACATTTAGTTGGTGTGGCATCAGGGCTGAAAGCTGTTCTGATTAGTTGGGCATCTGTTCTGTTTGATCAGTGCCCATGCCATACTGATCATTAAATATTTTGAATATCACACTTGTCTATGACACAGAACTCTTACATTTTTAATTAAATACTTATTCAGATACTTGAAATTATCCACTTATGACATATTTTTTGTGCCTACAGGCATCCCTGGTCTACTTCCATGCAAAATTTAGCTGGTCTTCTCTCTAGGTAAGAACATGCTAAGATTCCCAACTTTTATAATAGAAGCCCAATGTTTGCTATTAACTATGGGGCACATCTTTAAATCAGCAGTAGAAATTACCATACTCTTATGTTTTCACCAGTGAGTCCAACCTTAAAATGATCTCCTGCCTTTTTTGTTAAAAGTCAGGTTTGTAGCATGATATTTGGGGAATCAGTCTAACAGATAGGACACTATTCACACTTTCCTCAGTTCTTGCTATCAAATGGATCACAAGCTAATCTTGCTATCTAGACATTAGCTTACGCCCTTAGATAAAATGCCTAAACTGAGTTTTATACAAAGTTATATTCTTGGATTTTATCAAGATTCAGTACAAGAAATGACCATATGGGGGAAAAAAAGACATTGGTATAAATGTTTCAAAAACAAATCTAAATGTCATCATAACAAAAGAAGCATGATTTATTTCTGAGAGCGTCACACTCTAAATTTATTTACTAGTTATTCCAAATCAGTTTGCCCAAGCAGCATACATAAAATGCTGTACAAGCTCCCTCAACTGGTTAAAATGAGAACTACCAAAAAACATGTTGCATTAAGTTGACTGTATCGTCTTCTTCGGAAATTTCTGTAACTCCTGCCTGAGATCGAAGAATGGACATAATATCATTAGATAATCGGACAAAGCCATTCTGTAAACATATATTTGCCACTTCTTGCCACTTTTCTAGGGAGCAAAATGGATCATTTATCATAAGATGTTCAATTGCATCTAAGGAAAAAAAAATACAATGTTATAGTATGGCACTTATTCTTACTTGATAATTCACACTTAGCAATTCTTCACAAATAGAAAGGGATATCATTTCAACTTAGTTACTGTTAAAGCTGATTCCCATACCTGAGTCCTACATGTTTAAGGTGGAGTGTTTAGTCGAGCTCATGGTAATTGTAATTCCTCCTTCTCCTCCTCCTCCTTTTCATTAAACTTTTCTGACCTCAATTCAACCCTCTACCATTTCTCACATTCTCCACCCCTCCACTCATCTCCTCCTTGACAAGGTTAGCAGATGTTGAGGGCTACAAGGAAGGGAGCTCAGAAAGTGAAGAATGTGAGTTCGGCCTTGTTCACAGAGTCTGTATAGTACCACTAGAAACTATCAAAAAACTGAGAGCTTATAGATCTATTTTCACGACTCTTAAAACACTTTTATAAACTCCTTGGTAGTGCTGACCCAAAGGTTTAAAAAACTCTTTGGCAAATCCTCCATCTTGTCTCTAGAAAGAGACCTCTTAAATAATTCTATAACAAATATTTTTCTAAAGAAAATAAAAGAAAGATTTTGTTTATTAAAGAAAACTAATGATGTTATTTACTTTTGAAAATCAATTATAGTGACCCTCTTTGGGAGATACCTATTTATGGAAGTAATATCTTATCTATTATTTGCATTACTTACAATACTTAATGAAAGAGAATGTCATTTTAAAATATTATTTTATTTCTAGTATTACCATTATTTTTCTATCAAATAAAATATTTTAGTACATATCTACTAATGATAATTTCAAAATTATCTTCCCAAATATGTTTTCTTTAATTTATTATTTTTTCTTTGATCCCATATAATAATTTAAAATCAAGTTGTCTGTTCGAGTTCC